AGTTACACTTGCATTTCACTAAGTCAAAAATAAAGTACTTTCCTTAGAAAATACATGTTCCCCTCCCCCAATCCCAACTAACACCCAACTTAACACCCAAACCTAACAGCCCAAACTTACCCTAAACCTAATTGGGGGGGCTCTGCCCCCCCCAAGCCCCCCTCCTAACTTCTCACTCTGTTTATGACAAGGGCCACCATCTGCAAGAATTATGTAAGTGGTTGGTCAGGGTCGTCCCTAATTGGGCCGTGGGATTCAGGGCCTGGATGCGAAAAGTTAAGAGTCTTGATCTACCTCTAATTTCTACATAAGGTATGCTAATCACTTACAAATGGCCTTACCTTTTGAGGAAAGACGAACACTTTTGCCACATACCTGTATTTAAAACATAATTTGAAGTTTCTTTTAAAACAAAATTATAAATTTTCTTTCAAATTTTAAGACAAAAAAGATTTAGAATTTCATTTATAATATTAAATCTTATAAAATATTAAAAGAAATTTAAAAGAAAATTTATAATTTTATTTTAAAAGAAACTTCAAATTATGTTTTAAATAATTATTCTCATTTATTTCAAGATTTCACAAATAAAGATATGCCAAAATTAATTTATAGTTTTTGTCTAAAGAAATTTTTAAATGTTGTTTACAATTTCTATCAACCAAAAATGGTAAATTAAATTATGAATTATATTTAACATTATGTAAGTTATTTTTTAAGGCAAGAAATTGTGAAATGCCTGATGTGACTGCCAAATGCTATACATGTCACGTTACTAATAAGAGCCATGGATCTCACTCCAGTGCGGTACTGCAACTTGGCTTCTGCGCAGCTTTTGCCTTGACTTCAACATGTCCCTGCAGGTCAACATCACGGGGGCAGACATAGCCAGAGCATACCAAGATGTACTGAACCAATCTGGCATTGACTGGGCCCTCTTCACGTACGACAAGGGCACTAACAATCTCAAGCTCGAGGACAAGGGTGACGGCGGTCTGGAAGAGCTTGAGGAGAAATTCAAGGACGGAAGGTTCGTTCTCCTGAGCACAGTACTGCGCAGAACAGCAGCACTTAAGCCTTCACGGTTAGGATACAGTACGCTTTCGTACGTGTCAAAGATCCAAATGTGCGCAACTATTACTGGACAGCTTGGGCTAGGGTTACTGAACGTGGTTTAGACAGAATTGCCGAAGTTCGTGCAGATAAACTGGTGTGGTGAAGGTGTTCCAGAGTCGAAGAAAGGCTTATTCCGTCCGTGGACCTTCGTCGTTAATATGTCAGCGGTTATCTAAGGTGCTGATTATATGCAGATTCGCATTCAGGCACTGTAGCTCAGTTCCTCAAAGGAACGCATGTCGCCATAAATGCACGCAATGAAGTACGATTCTTACGTGTACGCTTTTGTGGTGTATGACTTACAGCGACAAAAGGGAGACGTGACGCCTGAATACATCCTAAAGCGCGTGGCGGATTCATCAGGCTCGAGATACACTGCGCATAAGGAGCAACCGCGCAAATTTGAACGTATAGCGCCCGTTGGCACGAATTACACACCCATTGGAAAGGTAGATATTGGCGAGATTCGAAAATCAGCGACGAAGCCAACTACAGCAGCGAAGCCAGTGAGTATTCTAGCAGGATAAATGTGCGTCTTACTAACGTATCCGACAAGACTCAGGCTTACACTCCACCAACTCCCACCGCTGCCCCTCCTATGCCTTCTGCTCCAAGACCTCCAATCTCCTCAAAACCAGTTATACCTTCATGGGGTGAACCCGCAACGACGGCGGCAGCGCCGCCTCCCCCACCACCGATGGCTTCACGCCCAGTTATCTCCACAGAATCGAGGCCGACGGTAAGCTAATAAGAATTCGATTAGGCTACTAGCTGACAAGTTTGAACAGCTATCTGTATCACCAGGCCATAAAGAGCCTTCCCCTGTAGCATCATCGATTACGCCTACTAAGCCAACTGAAGAAGACCGCATTGCACCAGTTGTGAGTATAATTTGTTCGTGGTCCTTATCTGGTTGCTAAATGTCGATAAGGGAACGAATTATACCCCAGTCAATCTACCACCTCCCAAAAAGCTTGTAAATCCGTTCGAAAGAATGGCACAAGCTTCCTCTTCGGAGATCACCAAGTCTCCTGTGGGAGCATCAAGTGCACCGAAGAAGCTCACATGGAGTGAGCGGCAAGCTCTCGCGAAGAAGCAACAAGCAGATGAGGAAGAGCGCAGTAGATCTGCGTCGTTCAAGCCGATTTCACCAGCTTCAACTGGATCAAAATGGACGCCGCCTGCGGTGCAAAGTAGAGCGTTTGGATCTGCTGTTGGCGGAGAAGAGCAACCTACCGCTCCCGCCGCCCCGCCACTTCCTCCTGCTGCTTCTCGTCCTGTAGCCGCTCAAGTGGTAGCAGTTGAATCAGAGCAAGAACCAGAAGTCGAGCAAGCTGTTATTCCACCAGCCGTAATGGGTTCCATTATGCCTTGTACTTGCTCTGTATTGCTGACTTGTATACATTGTAGCCGCCTCCGCCTCCTGTCCCACAAATGGCTGCACTCAGTATTGAATCCACTCCTGCAGCACCTCCCGCGCCTCCTGCACCGACTCAGCCAGCCCTACCAGCGGCGGGTAATGGTGTATGTGCTGTCGTCCTCTATGATTACGAGGCAGAAGAAGAGAACGAAATGCCTTTAACGGAAGGTGAAACCATTGAACAGATCGAACAAATAGACGAAGGTGCGTTTTGGTGCACGCTCGTCGATTGAGCAATACTTATACACATGGTTACAGGTTGGTGGTCCGGAGTGGGAGCTGGTGGAACAAAGAGTGGTCTATTCCCAGGTTTGTTTTTGCAGGCTGAACTTTCATACTTTTCTAACATCTTGTACTATTTATGAAGCAAACTACGTCGAAATCATCGAGCAAGCCGAGGAGCCGGCTGTTGAAGAGCAAGCACAAGCTGCAATTCCCCCACCGGTTCGTTGACAGATCCAACTTACCTGCTTTATCTTCGACTGACTTTTTCTACTAGCCTCCACCTCCGCCTGTAGAACCAGCCGCTCCTACAGCGCCTCCCGCGCCCCCTGCACCGACTGCTTCTACAGGCGACCAGGGTGTCTGTGCAATTGCATTATATGAGTACGTCTTAATCGTTGAATATTATTATTGCCATCCTGAGCTTGCTCTAGCTATGACCGCGCTGAGGAGAATGAATTGACATTCCGTGAAGGTGACCGCATCACAGATATCGAAGCTGCAAGCGAAGATTGGTGGCAGGGTCGTGATGCACACGGGAACGTCGGATTATTCCCTGGTAAGCCTGTTTCCTCTCGAGTATTAATATTAGTGCTAATATCGGGTACAGCAAATTATGTCGAAGTGCAAGAGTAGCGAAACATTGCAAATTGGAGTTCGGACCTGAGAGATAAGAAATATGCATGTAATTATTATCAGTCAAGGTTGTATTGAAGTACAAATTTTCAGCATCTTTCTTTCGTTGCAGAAGAGCATGCAGTTCCTCCTTTTAATAATGGAACGGTGTTTGAAATGCTCTAAAACTACCAAGCTAACCTATTCAAATGCATCAACAATTTAGATGACAGAACCAAAAGCTCTTGCAACTCCACAAGCAAAATCCTTAGCAAGTTTTTGACACAATTAAAAAATTGCCTCCATATTTTATGCCAGCCTCTCGGCTACGCACGGAGTGCGAGGATAGCCCGTGATCGACAAGCTGGTATGACGCGTCTTCCGTCAATCATATTTTTATGGTAGACCAGAGTCAAAGGCATTCTTGCTTATGTCTCGAAGACATTGTCATAATGCTTCTTCTACTCAAGCTGCCTATCGAAGGCCTAGCACGTGCATATCATTATTAATGAACAGGCCCATGTCTTAATTGCTACAGTGTCAGCGTAGTCCTTCTGAAGCCGTAGTGCTTTGCCGTTCTGACGCGTCTACGTCGGCATACAATATCTCACTCGAAACAGTATCGAAGGTACTAACATCGTGTCTCCCTCCCAGCATTGATATAAAAGCCGGACAAGCTTGCAGACAATAACACAGAACAACGCCTATCAAACTCTCAACAGTCAAAGAAAACGCAGCGCTAAGCATGTCTTTGAACAAAATTCCCACTCGTCAGCTTGGTCGCGACGGGCCTCATGTGAGCTCCATTGGATTAGGTTGTATGGGTGAGTAAAGTTACATCTGGAGTATTATCACGAATACTCACCGCATTATTACGATAAAATTAGGTATAGGAGCATGGTATGGAAATACCGACAAGGACGCTGCATATAAAGCTTTAACGTATGCTGCAGACCGCGGTATGACCTTCTGGGACACCGCGGATGTCTACGGAGACTGTACGCCTAGTCCGTCAAATGCGGACACATTCTAACTGACTGACTTCCTTATCTATACTTCTGCTCTGCACAGCCGAGCAGGTCATAGGCAAGTGGTTCAAGGAGACAGGCCGTCGCTCTGACATCTTCCTAGCGACTAAATTTGGGGCCTTCGACCCCGAAACACAGGGCCTTCAAGGCCGACTCAACCCAATTTCCTCGCCATCTTACATCAAACGTGCACTTGCTCGCTCACTCGCGCGGCTCGGAACGTCATACATTGATTTATACTACCAACACCGTGTCGATCCTAAGGTACCCATCGAGATTGTTCTCGAGACGCTTCGCCCGGAGGTTGAGAAAGGTGCAATAAGGTGGGTGGGGTTGAGTGAGTGTAGTGCGGAGGTGATGAGGAGGGCGAGAAGGGTGCCTGGAATTGGGAAGCGTGTTGTTGCGTGTCAGATGGAATTCAGCCCGTTTGAACTTGTGCATGAGAAAGACGGATTCACGAAAGCTGCGGAAGAGGAAGGTGTTGCGTTCGTTGCGTATAGCCCGCTTGCGCGTGGGTTGATTAGTGGACGGTTCGTGCATACATAGTCAATATTTCTTATTTGTGTCCCTTATGCTAACATTGGACTGGTTACTAGATACAGAAGCCGAGCAGATTTTGACGAGAACGACCTCCGCTTGCTCATGCCCCGCTTTTCGGAGGAGAACTTCGCGAAGAACCTCGAACTAGTTGACAAGTTCAAAGTCGTAGGAGAGAAGTACGGTGCAACACCCAGTCAAATCGTACTCGCTTGGATTCTCGCAGCCTACCCTAATTGTTCGTCCTCTTTCTCACCCGTCCCTCCTCACCTTCTATCTCACTTTCCCTTTTCTTTCTTACATCTGAACGCATGCTAATGTGCTTGAACTCTTATTCAAATTGGCTTTTTTAGTCATACCAATACCGGGCAGCCGTTCCGCCGATCGCGTCGAAGAGAACGCACGCGCAGCCGAGTTGATGTCAGAATTGAAACCAGAGGACATCTCCGCCATCCAAGCACTCGTCGAAGCTGCTGACGTGCACGGAGAACGAATGCCAGAGACGTACTTGAAAGCGCATAACGATGAGTGTATTCCTTTGGAGGAGTGGAAAGGGGAGGAAAGTAAAGAGTGGGGAGTGGGGAAAGAGGATAAATGTTGAGTTGAGACATTCTAACATTCATGTATATTGACTGAAAGTGATGGGATAGGGGGTTGGGATATAGTACTGGTAGACGAAGATAGTTGAATGCTATTTGTGCAATCGAATAATGAACCTATATGCAAGGCTATTTTGAGCGACTGGGCAGAAAGAAGTTTATATGACATATGTAGGTTCACGAGCAAGTATTCGCTGTGAAACTCCTCTCAAACTACATACATGCAAGGAACAGCTGTCTGACGTGTTCTTCCTCTTGCCCGATTCTCATTTCAAAAGAACGAAAACACAGGTCATGCGTCACTTCATATTCTTGCAGAACATTTGGCACGCACGACTAGTTTCCGCCTTGTATTTCACCGCATTCAGGGTAGACCGTTGCTGCAGGTCTACCATTTTGTTGGTACACCAAAAGGTAATTCTTTCTGCGTCCATGGATTAGAAAAAAATTATCAGTCGGAGTTGTATTGAGGTACAAAATATCCAATGTGATTCGATCCCTGCAGCAGAGCGGGCTGTTGCTCCGTTTAATGACGGAACGTTGTTTAAAATGACTATGATAACCTCTTCAAATACGTCAACAATTTAGGTGACAGAACTAAAAGCGAAAGCCCTGCGACCCCACAGGCAAGAAACTTTGGGAGTTTATCACCCCCCAAAGTTCTCATGATAGCGAGGAAAGTGAGAACGGACTGCATGGGTCTACATTGGCGGTCATAATCAGATCCATCATCGGTAGTACTACAAGAACATCACAAAACTCACGGTATTGTATTCTTTGCACGCTCCGACAATTTTGTATAAACGCCATCGTTCACCTCGGGATACGGGATACGGAAGGCATCGCGCTCGTCGGGAATACAATATGCAGCACCGTTAGTGTCTGCTTCTTCATCCGTTGCAGCGAGTACGATTGCACCCGCGACGCGATGAACTGGTGAAAGCGGGATACCATGCATGAGCCTCTTTACAAAACCAGGAACCAGAGGTGTATCTATCCTCGTCAGGATCGTATTAATAAGTGATTATTGTTAATTCATCTTGCGATGTTTCTAACAGCTTACCAACAAACCACGGATGTACAGTAGCGATACGAAAGCCATTCGCCTCAAATTCAGGCCTCAAAGATAAACTGAAAGCCAGAACTCCATGCTTTGAACTGCAATACAATGGGGCAAGATCTGGGCTCGTGAACGACACTATATATGCGAAATCACGGAAATCAGATTTACTTGCAAGCATAGATAGGAAATAAGTTGGCTTTTACATATAGAAGCAGTCATGATTAGTGTCTTCAATGACTTCTCGTTGGTTGCTTTGCCAAAATAATGGTATGCCAGCTGAGCAGCTTCGAAAGTTTTTGTAGATGTATGAGCAAAGTACTGGTGCAACGGAAGACTCGAAGCCAGCGACTCACTGTATATAACGCTCGTCAGATTCATGTCAATCGTCTTCAACTTTCCTTTCACTGGGCGCCCATGTTCGTCCAACTGGACACCGTCGCCAACTAGTTGTTCGGATTCAGCTATTCCAGCATTTGCGATCTATTTCAGGAAGCGAATAAGTACCACTCATAGCCAAAAGCAGTATAAAATTTAAAATATAATACCACAATATCAACGCTGCCATACTCCTCTAGAGCATACTCGAATAAAGATCTTAAGTCGTCGTATTCAAGTACATCGCACGCTTTCCAAATCGCTGTCCTGAAAAAAGCATCATAAGAGCGTAGACACACCACAGTATTCAGAGAAGTTTACCCTCCGGTGTACCTTATGACACCCACAAGCTCTTCAGAAGCTTTCGTATTGATGTCCCCGATGACGAGCTTCGCTCTGTCGGATATAACGTTGGTCAACAAATTGTGGGATTGTATAGACGAGCTACCCTCTCTTCGCTAATTCAATGACTGTAGCTCGCCCGATTCCGCTCGCTCCACCTACATGCCTTGATACATGAGTTTGCTCTATCTCTGTTCAATATAGAAGTATCAGAGGACTCCTTACTCACCTGTGATAAGCACAACCTGTCCGGTTACTTTACTCGCATATGTGTACAGCTCTTGATCACTGATGTTACGTGCCGCTGTCATTGCGCATGCGTATCTGCACCGATAGAGGAAGTATCGGGCAGGGTCTGGGCGCTTACTGCAAATCAGTTTGATGTCTCCCCACGGTCACACGCAGGCTCTTTGCTTGCAACAGTGTATTTCATCTAGTCGATATTACCATATTGGGGTAAGTATTTGCCATTCGCGGAAGGCCGTAAAAATCCTGGCAATTGTGATTGAGAAGAAATTGAATTTTTGCGGTGTAGATGTGCAAGGTTGGATCGTCGAGAGTGCGTTGGAGTGTTGCTGTGGACAAAAACTATGTGATTTGCACGCTTACAAATTTAACATGCTTAAGAATTTGCACACTTTTATTTTATTTTACAAGTCAAACAAGTTATAAAATATGGCAGAAAGAGCAGGTAATTATAGGGGAAAAGCAGAGAGAAATCGTACAATGCAAAGGTGGGTCTGGCGTTCCTCAACCACATATATTTGCGCGCGTTTGTCTTCCAGAATCCCGAGGTGCTGCAAGAGAAGCGCTGTTGCATAAATGAATAGTACAATATATCAGTACAACAAGACAATCAAGCTACAACGTACACTGACACAGATAGATACGTATAAGATCCTTAGCAAAATAAAGGAAAATAATTGGAAGGAATAAGAGAACAAAACCGGCGGACGGAGAAAATACACAAATAGATGTAAGGAAATAGAGCACCTAACGTACTTCGCTGTCCGGTAAAACATCAAGGCGTGGATATCAAAACTACAACTTATCACTTATGTACAACTGTCCACAGATTACACCAACCTTGTCATCTATTATCACAGCACCATCTACAAGCAACCGTCAGCGACGTTGGATGCTGATTGTGAACTGATTTAATACCTTTTGTAGGGTTAGATCACGCTCGATCTCACGTCTCGTCTCAGCAGCATACAGAACCAATTGAGAATGCATCTCTTCAACACGCTGCCAAGCATCTCGACGAGGAATATGGTCCAACTCAACAGAAAATCCAAGTTCAGCCCAACCAAGAGTCCAATCCGCACCGTACGTAATACTTAGATCGGTGCAGGGTGCAAGCTTCGCTAACCATCGTGCGATCGGTCCAATAGCTGTATGCGAAATTGGCGAAATACCGAAACCGAGCGTTGTGAGATTCTCGAACTTGTGGACGGGTGGTGGTGGACGCGAGGTCACTCCATGCTCGGCGTCAATATATATTTCGAGCCATTCGAGAAGTGGCAGAGCACTTGCAAACTTCTCCAGGCTAAACAGGCCAAGCGCTGGAGGGCCGTCATCGGTACTTAAAGTCGTCCAGACAGGATCCGGTACAAGGTGCAGGGTACGCAGAGTGCCAGTTGGGCCACCCCACGCCCGGCCAAGCTCTTCGATGTCACTCTCGGAAAGTACGAGTGGTCTGTTGTGTTTGAGGTGAAAGCAATGCAATCTCCCCAGACGCAGTGCGGGTCGTATAACGTCGAGCGAAATACGAGGAAGGTTGAAGTCCGGGATAGGCTCATCTTGGTCGGGATCGGGCGGTTTTACGAGGTAAGCAACCATGAGGTCGGTAAGCGATGAAAATTCCTTCGAAACAAGATCAAGGAACGAAGTTAATGCTGAAAGCGGCTCACGCTCAAATGCAGAAACGTTGAGGTGTGTTATTGACCGCGACACGCATGGTGAGGATAACACATTCCGCAAAACGTTGAACCTGCTATCAAGATCAAGTTCAACAAGTTTCGAGAATGCATTCTCAGGAAGACCGGACACATCAATCGATTTGACATCATCGGGATCACCCACGAAACTCGAGCGCCAAAATGGTCGAGCGCCCAAACGCTTCAAAAACTTATGATGCGACAGAGCACGTAAAACGGACGTTGTGATGCCATATGCTGGGAGGCACAAGTACTCCATGTCTGGAAGGGCTTTGATAGTGTCTGTAAGGACAGGCTCGAGGGAGGATGAGCTCGTCCCACAATCGAGCTCCAGCTCCGTGAGACGAGCGCAGACATTAGGCAAGCCGTGCAGGAAGTCCCGCAAAACCGCCGTTCGCATACCCGCAAAAACGATGAGATGCAGGCTAGTAAGTTCGGAATGCATGAACAGCCTTGCAAAGGAGAAATGGTCATGGTCGACCACGGCCCAAACAAGTCGGTCGAGGCAGGGCATCAAGCACATCTTCGGCCGTGTCGTCGCGAGCATAATCAATGCTTCGGGGGAGATCGCCCTTTGACCTTTGATGTCAAAATCATAACTCAACTCTCGGATACGCTGGGCATGGTGCAGGAATCTGTCCCAATTCATCTCGGAAAAAGGCCGAGCAAACGTCTGAAAATAATTAGACATAAGTAGGCACCTTCCAAAATCAGCGCGTCAGAACGCACCATTCCTCTATCTCCTTCCTCCATCGGACCCAGAACCTGAAGCAAAGTCCATAGCGTCGTAACATTCCGCCAGAGCATACTATTCGCCGTCATTTCCCAAGTGCGACATACTGCTGCAGCCGTTCCAAGAGTCCCAGACGAGCAATGCTCGAGAATGGCAGCAAGAATTTCGCCGAGCTGCAGAGCGGTATGCATCGCCTGAGATCTTTAATCACAAGGGGGACGAAAGAGTTCAGGTGGTTAGGATCAACTTTCAAGTATCATGAGTGCGCCGGCTGAGATGGAAACTCGTGAGGAAACACTTATTGCAGTGTTCATTGCCCCAACACGTGATGAGCCCTTTTGTTAGCTTATGTAATTAATAAACAAATAACCGAACTACTTTACATTGGCCAGGGCCGCCAGGCAACAAAGGACGAACGAGGTTGTGCAACTCCGATTATAGAATACATTGATCCAGCAGCGCATAACGCGGACAATACTTAACAACAATATCACAAGGTTGCTGTCGGTTCACAGCACTGGGGTACCTCCTTGACCTATTTTCGGAATTGTTTGAGTATTCTTTCCTCAGAAATTCCTGTATTAGCCAACCCAAGATCAGTGTTCATGCTATACCGCGTCCGGAACACGTATCCACGATTCATACCTCTGACTCTATACCTCTTTCATCGACCATTGAATCCCAGTCTCTGAAAGATATCTTTATATTTGCCGTCTATGTGCGCTAAGCCTGTGTTGCTAGATTGGTTTGTGATGTGTGAGTTTACATAACATAATCTGCGTCTCTCACAAAGCGTCATATAGTAAAGGGAAGATTTCGTTCCGGCGGGAAGGGGCACATAGTCAAGTGGCACAGGAGTTCTACCTGAGGAATGGTCTGATGATTGATTTGATCTTTTGATATCGAACCTCCAAGATTATTGGATAACATCTTCTGAACTGAGTAGAGGACTGTCAAAGTAGCAGATAGGCACACAAAACTAAGAGTCCAACGTCTGTCCAACGAACGAGGTGGCCTGTAGCAAGGGCCATATGTACCATAATGGGCGTAGAAGCACTTGGGTAAGAAAGCCTGGTGGCATTCAGTCAGATGGAGATTGAGGCCAGTTTGCAATTCTGCCCTGAACATGATAACCTAAGTAAGTAGTACATTCCGAGGCAGGGGAACGTCTTGAACTTACAATAGAAAAACGTTCGTTCCTTCACTCAATGCAGGACATAACTGAGACCAGAACGGAAGTCCACGTGTCCCTATCATTATTGATAAAAAGGATTATAATCTGTGCTCACAGAATAAGAATAAAATTGCCTACTAACATGTTTTACAACCTAACATGTGCTCTTCTCTGCCTGCATTGGTCACGTTGAACCCGATCCCATGCTCACAATTTATCCGCAAAACATGGAGTAAGTGCTTCAGATAACGTTAGGGCAGGGAATCGGTAAATGGGCTACTGCAAGGCCGACTAAGGACAGCTGAAGGCTGACGATCGGGAGCGTTTGCACGATACACGTCCAATTTGGAGGGAATAATTCATAAAAGACGAAACAACTGCATCCTATCTGGAAGGAAGAAAGAGGGGAAGCGTTAAAGGAGGTTACGAAAGTGGGGGTAAAGAGTAGAAGAATAACACTCACCATGTGCTGAGCTCGGGAACAGAATAAGGCTCATGTAGAAGATCATCGGTTTGAAAGGGTGAAGGCCTTCGACATATACCTCGCAGAATACAAAGATGTTTCAAACTAACAGTTCTCCCGCAAATAGGAGATTAATGTATTGACGAGAAATACGAACACCATTCCAAGGTCACATGCATATGCTCACCATACCACCTAATTCTACCTCTGTCATCACGAAAAAGTTGTAACAAATGTATTTAATAATAGCAAAAGTAATCTAATAAAATGATTTCATAAG